TACTTTCACTTTCAGTTCTATAATTCAATTTCAGTTCCAAAATTATTACTTTTTTTGTTTCACACATTCTGGTCCTCGAGGAAACCAGAGTAATCAAACACAGACTGACAGATTTACATTTCACATCAGTGAAACTTCCTTTATGGCAATGCAGGCGTTCAATTTACAGGAAGCAGTAATCAGCATTACCAGACATACAATAACCCACAATAAATTACATTAAAGTACAATAAATTATTAAAAAAACATCCCATAATGTTTGATAATTTGACTGTTTTAATGCATGACTGAGTTGACACTGTCTGACATGAGAGAGTTGTGGCAGATTGTGGAACACACCGTTGCCTATTTAGCAACATTGTCACCGTATTTAGCACGTTGTTTTCAGAAAACTGACTAGCAAAAGAGAGAGTGAGATGAACGCAGCCTTCCAGTGAGCAGTGGGTGCTGCTGTGAGCTCCTCTCTGGTCCCAGAGCAACCACAGGCGGCTCAGTCCTCACGCAGCTTCCCTCCCAGCTGATATTCAACCCATCCAGACTCTAAGTGCCGGTGCAACGCTGCTGCTGACTGACACACAAACCAAGCTTAGATCAGGATAATGCAGCCGAGGCTGTGACGTCCTGGTTTCTCACACACTGATTGGCTGAGCTTCCTCCAGCCTCAAATGATACAGGGAGGCAGTGCAGCGAGGGCTCTGCTCATCCACACAGGCATGGCTCCTCTGGACTGGAAAAACACAGGAAAAAGGAAGGACAGGAGTGTATATCACCCACTTCATTAGACTCCTCTGTTGTGCTATCTCTCTGTGTGTGTGTGTGTGTGTGTGTGTGTGTTTGTGTATGTGGAAGGGTCAGGGAGGAGGGGGCATTATCATCACAGCACTCCAGCAGCTCTTTAGCTTTCACCGAGGGAAACCAGGCAGCCAGATTTGTTCAGCTTCCTGCTGGAAAAAAAGTGCAAGGACATCGTTTTTTTTTTCTTTTCTTTTGTCAGTTTTTCCACTGTGGATCTTATTTTCGGACACACATATATATGTATCATGGAAGTCATGAAATGCAGAGTACAAGGGCTGGAGTGTGGGATGTAGCATGGCTTACTATAAGGACATATCTGCCAGAAAGACCTCTTTAAATCTGGTAACAGGATTCTTTCAGTATCTGCGTGGTAAGTAGGATCTGTAATAGTATGGAGTTTTATCACAGCATCCATGTATTTTTGTTTACGGCCACTTCTGTATGTGTGTGTGCTTCATCCATGAAACATTTGCCTCTGGGTTAGTGATGTTCTTTGCTCCCATAGTGTTGGCATAGCTTCCTTTAACACGTGATCCCTGTCTGTGTTTGTGAGGGTGGATGTTTGAAAATGGCCACTCTGTGTTTTGTGCAGCAACCGGTGAGCATGACAGAGTGATAGAAATCACCACTAAAGCAAAGAACTGTGCTGCTGTGTTGCACATGATGAATAATGCATGAGGCATTGTGCATGAACAAATTATTAGACCACAGAGAGGCCTGGGGTGACCTAAAGAATCACACATGGCATTTATAAACACGGGAGGTGAATGTGTTGGCAGAAATTTTCTCTAATCTCCTAGAATGACATAGTACTATTTTAGTTTTCATTTACCAGCAAGGTTTTAAGAAATGTGCTTTACATGTGAACATGTGGGGTGCAGTATTTATGTAAGGCTACTTCATATATTTGAAGAAGTAAAATGTTGTGTATATTTAGATATTAAAAAATAGATGAAAATATTAAAAGAAGAGGAGGACATTCAGTTTCTCCTGTCGATCTTGCTAATTTATCAGTGTCCTTCTGCTCTGGGAGCACAGCAGATCATTTCAGGAACGTGTGGAAGCTCATGTTTATGGCAGGCCTGTTTTACATTTTATTGGCTTCACCACATTTTCATTCCAGGTATCTAATATTGGTTTATGACTTGGCATTTTTGTTATTTTAGTTTTTTTTAAAGTGAGATTCAACTAACATAAATTTAATTGCACGTTTTCATGTTCTGCAATGTTTATAGTGGAGGAGATAAGTATTCGATCCTTTGCTGATTTTGCATGTTTGTCTTCTTACGAAGACATGAACAGGCTATAATTTTAAGGGTAGGTTAATTTTAACAGCGAGAGATAGAATATAAAAAAATCCAGAAAATTACATTGTATAAATTATATAAAGTTATTTGCATTTTGCAGAGAGAAATAAATATTTGATCCCTTTGGTAAACAAGACCTAAGACTGGAGGAAAACCCCTTGTTGATAAGCACAGCAGTTTTTATAGTTGATGATGCTGTTTGCACACATGTCAGGAGGAATTTTGGTCCATTTCTCTTTGCTGATCATCTCTAAATCATTAAGATTTTGAGGCTGTCGCTTGTCAATTTGGAGTTTCAGCTCCCGCTGTAGGTTTTCAATGGGATTTAGGTCTGGAGACTTGCTAGACCACTCCATGACGTTAATGTGCTTCTTTTTGAGCCACTCATTTGTTGTCTTGGCTGTATGTTTTGGGTCATTGTCGTGCTGGAAGACCCAGCCATGACCCATCCTGGTAGAGGGAATTTTACGGTACATGGCTCCATCCATTCTCCCATTGATACGGTGAAGTAGTCTTGTGCCCTTAGCAGAGAAACATCTCAAAAACATAATGTTTCCACTTCCACACTTGACAGTGGAGACGGTGTTCTTTGGGTCATGGTCAGCATTTCTCTTCCTCCAATCATGGCGAGTTGAGTTAATGCCAAAGAGCTAAATTTTTGTCTCATCTGATCACAGAACCTTCTCCCAATCACTCTCAGAATCATCCAGGTGTTCATTGACAAACTTCAGATGGGCCTGAACATGTGCCTTCTTGAGCGGGGGAGCTTGCGGGCACTGCAGGATTTTAATCCATTATGGTGTAATGGGTTACCAATGGTTTTCTTGGTGACTGTGGTCCCAGCTGCCTTCAGATCATTAACAAGTTCCGTGTAGTTCTAAACTGATCTGACCTTCCTCATGATCAAGGATATCCCACAAGGTGAGATTTTGCATGAAGCCCCAGATCCATGTCAATTGACAGTCATTTTGTATTTCCTCCATTTTCTTATTATTGCACCAACAGTTGTCTCCTTCTCACCCAGCATCTTACTTATGGTTCTGTAGCCCATTCTAGCCTTGTGCAGGTCTATGATTTTGTCCCTGACATCCTTGGACAGCTCTTTGGTCTTGCCCATGTTGTACAGTAACCGTTACATTTCAATTTTAAGCTAGTAGCTACTGCTAACTTTAGATGGGGCTATATTTCAGTAGGCCTGTCGCGATAGACAATAAATCAATTAATTGCACGATAACTTTTTTTGAGGTCGGTAAAAAAAAACGGCGATAAGTTTCATTTTCCTGCTTGTTTGTTTACTTCCTCTCTCTCCCTCTCTGTGCTCCGCTACACAGGAGCTCAGCTGACCCCTCCCCTCCTGTTTTCTTAGTGTGGGAGGAGTCAACTCTCGCTTTAGCGTGATAGCTCGTTCCTAAAGAAACGYTTCAAAGCAGAACGCGGCTGCTGAAGTGTTGGGAGCCCTAGAGCCTGGATTTCGCTGCGGAGGGAGGGAGGGAGAGAGAGACGGAGTGAGACAGAGAGAGAGGAGAGAAAGAGAGAGAGAGAGAGACAGAGAGAGAGAGAAAGACAGAGAGAGAGAGAAGGAGGAGAAGGGGTGGGGGCTGAAACTCCCCCAGACCCGCGACAAACTCGTCAAGACTTTACCTGTAGCTCCCAAAAATAACAGGAAACATAAACGCACCATCTTTGTTTTAACTAAACCCCCAAAAAACCTGTAGCTGTCCCAACAACTCCTGAGGAAAACTCTGAACTGTCTGATTTCCTCCCGCAGCGCTCTGACTGTCTCCTCCTCACACACACACACAGACACGTTTGTTCTTCTATCCTCATGGGGACTTTGCATTGACTTTCATTCATTTACCAGTATTTCCTATTACCATTTGACCCTAAACCTAGCCTACACTTCACATGGGATGTGAACTGGGCTTATGTCTAGGCTGTGTAATTTGCTTCATCTCTAAAGACATGCTGCACTTTAATATTGTTTATTTACTGTCTTAGTTG